CAACACACACACACACACACACACACACACACACACACACACACACACACACACACACACACACACGAAGCTAACTTCATACAACTGCTAAAGCCAAGAGAGGCTGAGCTACCTTTGTCTGGATGTCACCTGTTATTCCACATTGCTGCCACTGGGTGTACTGGTTGGTTTTGTGAACTTGACACAAGTCTAGACATATCTGGGAAGTAATCTTAATCAGGAAAAAGCCTTCATAGATTCCTCCATAGGCAAGTCTTTAGGACTTACTTTTTAAATTTGTGGTTGATGTGGGCATTGCCCCACCCACTGTGGGCAGTACCCATCCTGGGCAGGTGGTTCAGGGTACATAAGAGAGCAGGCTGAGCAAGCCATAAGGAGCAAGCCAGTAAGCAGCATTCCTCATGGGCTTCTCCTTCAGTTCTTACCTCTAGGCTCTTGCTCTGAGTTCCTGTCCTGGCTTCACTCAGTGATGGAGTGTGACTTGAGAATTGTAGGCTGAAATAAGCCCTTTCCTTCACAAATTGCTTTTGGTCATGCATTTTATCACATTTTAACCTTAACTAAGACAATAGGCTTGTCTGTTTTGAACAGGGGCCAAATAAAAAGGCCTAGCTCCTGACCCCTAAGGCACAGGGTCTGGGCAGTGGTAAAACACCGCATCCTAACCACCAGGCTGGAGGGGGTCTTCTGGGTGCATCTGGATGAGGGATAGAGAGTCAGGGCCAGAGAGGCCTGCACAAAAAGTACCACTTACCCAGTACAAAACTAAGCCATAGTCTCACTTTATTTTCCGTTTTAGGACAAAACAGAAGGACAGTTCCAATCTGTCTCTTAAGGGAAGAAAAACAAGCAAAAAGCACAACCAGGTAAATCACGATGCCTAGTGAGAGCTTCCCTCATGGCTAGCACACAGGGGAACAGAGGTACCGAAGAGAGAAGTGAGCAGAGTGTGGTGTTAGTGAAGGAGACAGGACCACAAAGTGATTCCATGAGCTGCTCTAAGGAAGAGTGGACACAGAGGGAAGGCCCCTGCCTCATGCTGACTCTACCTAAAGCTCTTAATGAAGCAGGAGAGGGAGGTCTGTCTGAACCTCGGGCGTCTCATGACATTCTATTAGGTCCTTGCAGCAGTACTGTGGAGTGGGTAGAGAGAGGCAGAGATGCTTTGAACATGGAAAATCAGTAGCAAAGGACAATGGGGCTGGTCACTAGAGGAGCTTGACATAGTTTGCAGGAAAGAGTCCAAAGTGGCCATGGCAACGGCCCCGCCACCAGCCTTCATCCACCATCTCAATGTCAGTGATGATGTCATCTGGATCAAAGGAAAGCTCATCGCTTACCTCTGGGGAGGAAGTTGAGGGGACATTAGAATGGTTAGACAGGAATCCCTCTGTGCCTTCCTGTGCCAACTCTAAGCCTCCGTGAAGGAAACAAGCCCAGTCTTCTGGGCCCTTTCTCGCCCCTCAGAACCCACCCCTTTTCCTATGTACCAGGCCCTTCAGGTGGCTTCAGACTTACCTCCTTGGTAATCATACAGAGCTACAGCTGAGGTGCCTGGACCACCAGCCCTGGCTGACGATCCTGAATAATGAGAAATAGAAATATTAACAGGGAGAAGACAGACACGACCCCACTGCGCAGGAAGGGGAGATTCCTCCTCCATCTCTGATGCCCAGAAAGTGACCAAATGGAGCTGCTCCCCGCCTTCACCTCACTCACCAGCCTGGTAGGACAGAGAAGTAGTGCCCTCAGGCTCCAGCACATCTTCATAGTCTCCCTCTGCTTCCTCCTCCTGCCGACCTAGGTCCATCACGTCTTCATAGTCATTCTCAGGCTCATGCTCCGGCTCTGCTTCATACACTGGCTCTTCCACCACCTGGAGGCCTTCCGGGGTCCTAGGGGGCAGAGCTGGGGGCTCCTCATTGTCCTGAGGAGAGACATGTGGACCAGGAGGATTCAACGACGGCTTAATGGGGTTGCTAACACCCTCACCACCCCACTTCTTCCCTCTGTTCAGAAGCCTTTCCTTGGAAGCAGTCTGTTCTTCATTCCCCAGTCTCCTAAAACACTTGCCCTCTGAAAGCACCTACCAAGAAGGGACAGGAGGGGACTCAAGGGGTGAGGTGAGGGATAAGGGGTGAGGGGTGTGGAAAACAAGGCAGTCTTTGGAAAACCAAGGGAACATCAAAGCACGAGCACCCTGTTGGGATACTGCAGCTAAGAGAACCAACTGTCCAAGTTTGCTCAGGGACGCAGAGTTTCCAGAATGCATGGCTTTCAGTGCTAAAACCAGAGCAAGCAAATCAGGATGATTGGCTGCCCCATAGAGCCCAAGACATGAGAAGATGGGCAGAGACAGAAAATCTGCCGGGCACTGCTTACCTCCAGGGAATTCTGTGGTTGAGTCTGCATCATGGGTAGGGAAGGCACAGGATGCTCTTCTCTGCTTCTCACAGGCTCAGGTTCTGGTGGTGGGTGATTCTCTGCTGGAGGCCAGACCTAAGAACAAGGTGTTTTGGCACTAACCACACCCACCTGCCATGCTCTCCCTTATACTTACCAAGAACCCTCTCACTCTGCTAGACCAAGACAGCACATCCCTCAAGATGGGTCCCACACTGGAGGTGATGGCTCCTTCATCTTTAGTTGCTACTTAAAGGATACCTATTGCAGCTGGTGACCACTTGGTCCAGCGGAGGCTACCAGTTGCAAATGGTGACCTGCCATCTGCTAGACTTTGATATAGAGACTCTAACAATTAGTTAGAGTCTATAAATCTTGTTGGCTTTGTTGTTGTTGTTATATTTTTTTATCTTCTGCTACCTGGGGCCAATTACACATACAGAATCTTCACAAAGGCAAGTATAACAGACTCTGCTCAACAAGGGAGACATTTGACTTCTTTTTATTGATGGATTCATTCATTCATTCATTCATTTTTGCCTACAACTTGGGCATCTGAGACACCTGTCTGGGCAAGAGAGCCTGGACCCCCAGTACCCAGGCACTCACCTCTGAGGAGATCTTCTTGGGCAATGGGGCTGGCACTGCTGGCTTTTCCACAGGCTCTGAAGGCTGCTGAGCTTCTCGGCTCATCTTCACCACGGCCTTTCGTTCCTGTTGCTGCCTGGCCATCTGCTGTGCCTTCTCTTCTTCTTCTCGCTTCCTCTTCTCCTCAGCCATGGACTCAAATTTTGCCTTCAGCCCACGGGCACCACTGGAAGCTGCAGATACGGACAAGAAAAGCTAAGGGTGTTTTGATTGTGAGTGGAAAGAGAGGAAATAGTACTTGTAGAAAGAGAGAAATCTGATAAATGCAGGAGGAGAGAAGAGGGTGGTTCATGGAGAGGAAGGTACAAAGATAGTGAGAGAGCAATAAGACCTGGGGATCATACGGTACTGAAGTCCAGGTTCCATATGACCAAAAGGATCATTTGTCCTTTCAAAATTATGAGTCAGTGAACTAATATCTTTCTCTGTTCACATTCTTTAAACCTGTGAGTCTCCACCCACCACCATCCCATTCCCCATCCCAAGAGTCTATTCTACCTGCCTTTCCCATGTAATTCCTCTTGTGAGTCTCCAGTAACTCTTACCCAGGTAACCCTCGTCTCTGTGTGTTTCCACCCACCACAATCCTATTCCCCATCCCAGTGATCTACTCTACCTGTCTTTCCTAGGTAACTCTTCACTCTTGTCTGAGTGTCTCTCTTCTATTTCCTTCCCTAATTCCACTCTTACTATCCAGTAGGTCTGGATTTTCTAGGAGACAAGACTCTGGAACTATGAGAGTAGGGGTCTCATCTTCCTTGGCTAATCTCAGTGGTTAAAGGCATGCAAGGGACAGTGTTGGAGGAGAGAGAGTCAGAAGAGAAAAGAGGCTGAAGGGTATGCATAGAGAAGGGAACCATGAAGACTAACCTGCTTCTATGGGTGTGGTCTTCTTATACGCTGTGGTTGGGGCCTCCATTTCATTGAAGCCAACGGCACTCTGCGGGCAGAAGAACAGTGTGTATAGTGAGGGAAACCAGGAGGGTAGTGATCCATATGCTAGCACTGGGGGATAGGGCCACCCTGGGGGGCATCCCAAGCCATGTAGTAAGCAGCAGTTGGACTAGTTCTCCAAGATTATGTGATGGAAGAGAGAGGGGTAAAGAACTCTACTGGTGGGCTGAGCTCCCCCTTTGAAATCTCAGAGGACTTAGAATTTCACGTTTCTAAGCCCAGTTAAACCTAGAATGGAGCAAATGCCTTGCTCACGAAGGAAGAGGAGCTTTTGAACATATAGGACAGTGATGCGGAGCAGGAAGAGACAAGACAGGATTAAGAAATGCCTGAAATGTCATGTCTGATTTCCCTGGTGTCTACCTGTCCTCTCCAACTCTGCCCTCCTCTGCTCTTCTCAGTTAAACCTCAGGATATGGAATTCAGGTTCCTTAGTGACCCAGCTCCAAGAGATCCATTTTTCTTGGGGCTTCTCCTTCTCTTGCTATCCTCTGTGCACCTCCTTTACTATGAGACACTCTTGAGACCATGGTATCCTGTGTTTACCTTATCCACTCGGTCCTTCTGGATTCCATACTGGCCACCAAAGCCCTTGGCATAGTCTGTAGGAAAGAAAAATCTGGGAGTGAAAAATAGATTAGAATGCTGGGAATGGGTGGGGAGAGGGACATGGATAGCAGGAAGAAAGGGAAAGGGTCGAGGGTGGGGCTGGGGAACTCGGGAGAGAAAGAAGAGAGTGGAGAGAAGGAACACAAGAGAAGTGACAGCCAAGAAAACATACAAGGAAATAAACAGGAAAATGAGGCGAGCCCTCCAGCCATCCCTACTGTGTCCCAGGGAAGAGCTCTCTGTCCCCTCTAAGGCTATCTGGCCTCGATACTCACACCAAGCCGCTACCTTGTGCCCATAGCCCAGCCTGGCTCCACTCGTTCCCCAAACCCCTTCTTCCTTTCTCCTTCCGTCTATGCCCTGCTTCCAAGCCTGCTGTCTTTTCCATCCATGTTGCCTCTCCTCATCCCTCCTTACTCTGGGACCCTGGGCAGCTTCCAGAAAGGAAGGAAAGAGGATCCTGTGCTCCCTAGTGACCCCCCTCCTCCTAATCCAACTTACCTCGCTGAGACTCGTGCTTCTCCGTCTCCCCTTTGTAGTCATATCCTAGAGCTGCTTTGTCCCGTTTATCCTTCTCTACCCCATAGCGGCCACCAAAGCCATGAGAGTAATCTGCAATAGACAGAGGAGGCCTGAGCCTTGGTCCACTGCAAAACGCTAGAGAGAGAAATCTAAAGGAATGAGTGCAGAGTGAGAAGGCAGGGAAGGTTTGGAGCTCAGACAGGGGTGAAATAATTCAACATGGACAACTCCCTCACCTCCATCCCAAGCCAAGAAGACCCCACTGGATATTTTCCCTTCTTCAAGGAAAGGCTATGTATAGAGAGGCTATGAGAAGAGATCTCTGGGATCAAAGGCAGACACAGGAGATGTGTGCTGTTCCTCCACCCCCATAGAAACAGGGAAATCTCAGCCAAATGTAGTAATTTTTTAAGTAGTGAAACTCAAAGGAAGAGATGGAGGGAGAAGAGAAGAAAAGGCACAGGAACAAGAGGAGGAGAAAAAGAAGGAAGATAAGGATGAAATAATCTTGGCTCCAGAAAGAAATACAAGAGTTGGAGCTACGTAAGTGTGAGGGTGACTGTGAACAGATACCATAGAAGTCCCAAGTCCATTTAAGTCAACATTTAATGAACTGGGATTAAGACTGTGGTTCTAAAATCTACTCAAGAGTGGGTGTGGAATCTGGAAAGGAGGCCCTGCCCAGTCCTCAAAAGAAAGAAAGGTCCAGAAACACTGCTCATTTGCACAGGAAATGGTGAAGTGTCCTGTAGTCTGTTCTTTTGTGACAAGGGGTACTTTTACCAATAACATTTAGAAGTCTAGTCCCTCAGCTGTGTGTAGACTGGAACTACTCATTTATTTTCACAATTATGGGATTCAGGAATGCTAAGGTAAGAAATTAACTTAAATACTGATCTAAGAAAATACATACATGGAGGGCCATGGGAGATAAGTTGGTCAGTACAGTGCCATGTAAATATGAGGACCTGTCATGGGATTTCCATCCTTTTAGCCAATGACTTAGGGGCAGCAAGCTTTAGGGCATTGGTCTTGTCTGCTATGTGACAACTGATAAACTGAAGGGAAAGGGTCTCTCATTCTCTTGCTCTCATGCTTGTTTGGATGGTTGGAGCTGAGCAGGCTGTTTGCTGTTGGTGCCCTTTCCCCTTGGGCAGAACAGTTTTGGAGGTGTCTGACCTGTCCTATATAAGTGAGTGTTTACCCCTATTCTACACCTAAATAAATTTTTTGAACCTCTGCCAGACTCTCGTGGCATGCTTAGTGGATCTTTTCTTTTACTTATAAGTAAAAGAAAATTCACTAGGAAAATTAGAAAGTGTTTTATCCTTAATTAAAATTAAAATACACATAGAATTTGGTGGAGTACAACATACGTTGTATTGAGAGGAAAAGGTGTAATTTGCTCATATTGGAAAGAGAGACAAAAATCAACGGTTTAAGGTTTTATCTCAAGAAGCTCGAAAAAATGAAGCCTACATTAATATAAGGAAAAATAATGAGTCAAAACCTAGTGTAATTTTAGAACAGATAACAATTGAGAAAATTAGAAAAAGTAAGAGTTAGGTCTTTAAAAACATATTGATTGCCTCTAGCAAAAATAATCTATCACGAACAGAAAAAAACTACATTCAAAATGAAAGTGAGCACATCAATACCACTACAAATTTTTAAAAGGTTAAAAAGAGCATATGGAAATACTATGATTTAGTGTGCTATCTAGACAAAGCGTGGCAACTTCATAAAAAAATGAGTATTTTATAACCAATCTAAGAAAAGATAGAATGACTAACTAGACCTACCTCTAGTGAAGAAATTGAACTCATTGAAAAAGGAAAATTAAAAAATGGCCCATGACTATGAACACCTCTCAGCCTCTGCTAGAAGGGGCCAAGAATTCTCTGGAGTCAACTCAGGCCATAAGAAACTCCTAAGAAGGAAATACCCCTCTTTATCACTGAAATATGTTCACAAACCATAAAGGAAATAAATAACCATTAAGGAAAGTAAACTAAGCAAACACATTAATTTTTGCACCCAAGAACTATAAATAACACAAAATATGAAACTCTACAACAGTAATTTTCAGCCTTCCTAATGCCATGACCCTCTAATACAGTTCTTCACGCTGTGGTGACCCCCAACCATAAAATTATTTTCATTGCTATTTCATAACTGTAATTTTGCTACTGTTATGAATCATAATGCAAATATCTGATATGCAGGGATAACTGAAATGCAACCCCTGTGAAAGGGTCATTTGACACCCCCCCCAACCAAGGGGTCACAACCCACAGGCTCAGAACCTCTGGCTTACAGCCTCAAGCCACTTGCAGCTCACTGTTTCCTCATCAAAGATGTGGGTTAAGCTTTAAAGACAATAGATTCTAGAACAAAGGAGAATCTTATTTTATCTCCAACCAGGGAAAGAGAGTATTAGACAGACTTGATCAAACTCATGGCATCAATTTGAGAGTCAAAGAAGTCAGCCCATAATTGGAATTGAAAAGTGGCCAAAACCATGGGGAGCTGGCGATGGGAAGCCATGATGGGCTGCTGGAAGGGAGATGTGAGCAGGGGAGGGGGCCAGCCAGGTGGTCCAGGAGCTGGGACTCACCCTTCTGAGATGCGTGCTTTTCCACTTCTCCCTTGTAATCAAAGCCCACTGCTGACTGCAGAGGAGATGAGGAGAAAGGATTAGTCACCGCTTCCTCCCTCTCTGACTTACCCTCACTTTTATTTCAGTCCCAGAAGCCATTTTAGAGACCTGTGGCTAGGTTTGGAGGTTTAAAGTAGGAACAGTATTACAAAGCAGTCATCATGGCCTCTGGACGTAGACCACTCCAGATCCAAACCCCATTTTCTTCATTTGTAGTTGTTTAGCTTTGGGACTAATCCTTAATGTCACTGAGCACTGGCCTTTTAGATGATAGTAAATGTGCCTTACCCATTACAATGGTAAATTGAGAGAAGTGATCTCTCTTCATTTTGAATACTATGACAGCTCAACATACATATACATATAGTATCTGCATTGAGTTTCTCAAGGAATCAGCACTATTTTTCCTCAGTGAGCATCACAAACCATGATGAGACAATAGGTAGTGAAGACCTTGTCAACTAAAAGCTATGTGTGCATATGGGCTAGTCACCTCACTCCCACTGAACTGTGCTGGTCTCAGTCTGACCTCACAGGGATGCAAGACACAGATTTTAGGTAATGGGATCCAAGTTAGTTCCAAGACCTAATGTATTCTGGGAGCTGAGTCCCCCTTTGCCCAGTAACTATGGATTTCTAAGCAAGGGTAGGTTTTGCATCTTAAGAACTAGTCTCTCAGCCGGGCAGTGGTGGTGCACGTTTTTAATCCTAGCAATTGGGAGGCAGAGGCAGGTGGATCTCTGTGAGTTTGAGACCAGCCTGATCTACAAGAGCAAGTTCCAGGGCAGCCCCCAAAGCCACAGAGAAACCCTGTTTCAGGGGGAAAAAAACTAGTCTCTTGGTCTTCCTACTCTCTTCTTCCTTTCCCCCCATCTCTCTTTCTCTGGGTCTCCTATACATGAGGTTGGCCTCAAACTCCTCTTTAGGCAAGGATGACTTTGGACTTGAGGGGAAACTGAAGACAGTTAATTCTTAGCTAAATAAATAGTGTGGGAGAGAGGTCCTAAATCAGATCAGGCTAATCCATGGATGCTTCTACTTTAGATCCATGACAGCTTGCTCTGGGACTCTTGTCCAGAAGAAGTCCCCCTATTGTTGACACATTTCCTTTCTGGCAGGCCACTGGGCTACCTCCCAGCCTGTGGGCCAACTTCTTCCACCCACTGTGGGCTAACTTCTTCCACCCACTGTGGGCTACAAATAACCCATCAGGTAGGTTTGGCTGGGCAAACTCCTTGCCAGGAAGCTAACTCCTCCCCTTCTTCACTGCACTGTGGGCTACTGAAAATGAGGCCCTGTGGGTTTTCTTCTCTGAAATATTAAAGGTCCCCACCAGTGTCACACCTAGTGAGGGCCTCGCTGTCATTTAAAGTGACACAACATGCTACAAGCATCCTACCCAGACCAATTCAAGAAGGAGAAGTGGAGCCAAGCTTTGTTCCACACCCTGTTAATAAAAGTGTATAAACCCCAGACTCTCCAGGGAGGAAGCAGATCATGTTCCATCTCTAGACACCGTGCCCATTCATTATTGGGGGGAGGGCTCTGGCTTTGTGTGTCACATGCTATCTCTGGTGCAATAAATCCTACATGGGGTAGACTGCATGCACACTTCTCACCCTGTAATCCTTTACTTGATAGACAAATGGGCTTGTAGAAGGAGAGGAAGCAGGCAATACATTTCAGATCTTCTGCTTCTACCTGGGAGTTAGTATGTACCACAACCGGGTTTATGAGGTGCTGGAGTGGTATCCATACCCTAGGCTAGCATGCTACCAACCAAGCTACTTCCCCAGTCTCTAGATTGATTCTTGATTTATGGACGCGTGGATTGCGTAGGTGATGCAATTTGTGCTTGTCAGATAGCAACTAACAATAAGGGATGGGGCAAAGACAACCAGGAGGAAAGCCAAGACTAAGGAAATTCTCTCTTGTTTCTAGAACCGTATATGCTCCACATGACATTATGGTCTTTAAGTTTTCTGTACTTTTTTCTTTTACCGCATGTTTTGAACTTCCTTGGCTTTGTTTTGGGTGTCTTTTCCCCCTACAGTGCAAACAATGACCATTCTAGTACTTTGCAGCTTGGATTTAGGTCTACCTGCTGGTAACAACAACAAACAATTAATAATAATAACAATCCAGTTCTCATGACCAGATGTGAAGAGTCTCCACCCCATTCTTCTCCCCCTCTCCTTCTTCCTACTCCTCTCCCTTCCCCGCCTTCAGCTTCCTTCTTCCCCGTTTCGATGAGACCCCAACCTGTGCCATGAAAGAGGACCTGATATCCTATGTCAGAATTTAAAGCATCAAGGGATCCCCAGCCTTGCTCTTCCCACTGTGTCAGCTGCACTCACTTAGTACTGTTTTACTTCTCCACTTTTAAACTACTCTTGGGTACAAAGGCACCCCAGCTTCACAGATCATTGTTTAGTCCTTCACCTCCTCAGAGAATTGCCATCCTAATTAACTAGCTGGTTTATTTGCTTATTTAAGAAATTCTGCCTTCTCAAATGCCTTGAGGAATTCTCATTCAGGGTTGAAGAATCTTTACCTATAGACTGATTAAAGGAGGCTTTGCGGATGAGCCCTGGGCCTTTCCTGTGCTAGGCCGGAGTTGCACTACCACGCCAGCCCTGGGAATTTAAATGGATGATGATGCACCACACAGCCTCCAGTACCAACAAACCTGCTGAGTCAGGTCATGAGAGTTGTCCTAGCTCAGTGTCAGCACCAGACACTGATGGCCTCCGCTGTCCTGTCTTATACCTGAGAAGCATGAACCTACATTTAGGACTGGGTGTTGGTAAGGCCCACATAATGTAAGAACTATGGTCGAGGGAGAAAGCTGTCACTTACCTTGTCTGCCCGGTCCCTCTCAACTCCATATTTGCCCCCAAAGCCTCTGGCAGCATCAGTCTGTGAAGAGTGTTTCTCTACATCGGCAACATACTCGTGGCCCACAGCACTCTAAGGAAAATCAGGAATGGTGTACAAAAGATCAGAACGGCCTTAAGATTAGAGGTGGCAAATGGATGTCAGGATACAAGAAATTCCACTCCAGGGCAGATCCATAGCCTCTGACAGTGGTGCCAAGGAACCCATGATGGGGATGCAGTAACTTTCTCTAGAGCTGTGCCCATCCCAGATTCTATTTTTTTTTCTTTTCTTCTTTTTTTTTTTTTCTTTATCACTGGAGAGCCCTTGCTTAGAGCCTCCAGGAATGTACTGGAATCAGAAAGGAGAGAAGAGATAGCCAGAGCAGTGTTGAGCCCCAAAGAAGGGAGAAGAGAGCTCAAAGAGGGGCATTGCAAAGTGAAGTGAAACAAAGGAGCAAAGCCTGGGTGCATCAGAGGGTGCTGCCTAGATACCATGGCCGAGGCTGTCGTTTTTCACTCCTCAGCCTGGTATCTTTGGTATCTTTGTCCTAGATCTTTACTCATGTGGACAACCAAAGTTCATCAGTGAATTATGGATTTTTCAACGTGTATATAAAAGATTACAAAAGGCCTGAGGAGTGGCTCAGTATGTAAGAGTCCTTGTTCTGCAAACATGAGGCTCTAAGATCAAATCTCTGTCATGCCCAGATTGTGGGGTCACCCATAAACCACCACAGAGTCTGCACTCATATGCAAAAGCAATGAGCCTTTATTCAAGTTTGAGCTTGGACTCTGTCTGGTCTATCAGACACAGCAGTTGAGAGCAGAGAGAGTGCCCAGCCCGGGCAGGGTAGGGTTTTTTATTATAGCAAAGGTTAGGGTGAGGGATTTTTAAGGTGCAAGACCCTGATTGGCTGACATTTGTCTAGGGGGTGTCTTGATGAAAGGGGATGGGTGTGTGTTAAGCTAAGGGACATCAGGTGATCCTATCTACAATGGTTGGAACATTTGGAACCTTAGGTACTTCCCCCTTGGATGGTCCCTTCCTGGGTGGTGTCCAGGTGGTCCCAGCGTATGTTGCTGTCCCAGGGAAAACTGAAACTTCTGGTTGGTCTCCGCTGAGCCTTGGCATGGCAGCAGTGCAGCCAAGTACCAGGTGTGTAGCAAGTTTTCCTGGGCCTCACAATCTCTAGTACCCACAAAAAAGCCAAGCATGGCTGCATATACCTATAACCCCAACATGGGAGGAAAGAGACAGGTGGATTCTGGGAGCTCCCTTTGCATCTAGCCTGGCAGAAATACAAGCTTCACACTCAGTGGGAGGTCCTGTCTCAAGACATCTTGCCATGGCTTCTGCTTATGTACACACAGCCCCCTGACTTGCACGCATGCATACACCACACACAACACATGCATACTACATGCATTCACACATAATCACATAATACACTAAAGCAGTGGTTCTCAACCTTCCTAATGCTGCAACCTATTAATAGAGTTCCTTGTGCTGGTGTGACCCCAACCGTAAAATTATTTCATCGTTACTTCATAACTGCAATTATGAATCATAATATAAATTTCTGATATGTGAACCCCAAAAGTACACAGGTTGAGAACAGTTACAGTAAAGAAAATAATAAGAGAAGTTGCAATATAGACAGAATACACAGCATTTAAAAGCAACAAATAATTCTATAGCCTACTTTCCCTCCTCCACTAATGTTCCCTGGTTCCTCCATCTAAGTGTGACCTAGTTTGGTTTCTGTTGCTATGATTAAAACATCTTTCCAAAAGAAACTTTCAAAGACAAAGGTTGTATTTGACTACAACGCCCAGGTTCGGGTCCTTGACTTTGGGGAGGTTAAGGCAGAAACTTGAAGAACCAGTCACACCCACCATCAAAAGCTAAGAGAGAGAATGAATGCACAAATGCTTGCTGCTTAACTTGCCGTTTCTACTCTTATACAAATGGGACCGAGTCCAGAGAGCGGTGCCACCCACAGTGGGCTTCCCACATCTATTAAAGTAATAAGACAATCCCCAACTGACACACCAAAGGTCAATCTGATCTCCAGTCCTTCACTGATACTCCTTTCTCAGGTTCCAGATGGTGTCAAGTTGACATCTGTCCACCACACAGGGTCATGGATACTTGGAGCTGTAACAGGCCAGCTGCTCTAATGTCCTGACTCTTCTGACATCCATAGCTTGTGTGTTGAGATCAGAGGGGAAAACGATACAAACAGCACATATATACTCTGTTTTAAAGTCCAAATGGACTCCATATTTGGAACAAATTTTAAACCAAAGCACCAACAGTCTAGTACTTTGTTTTTTTGTTATTTTTTTTTCTTTAAAATGATCTCTCCTTTTCTACTTACCTTGTCCATCCGGTCTCTTTCCACTCCAAACCGACCTCCATAGCCATGGGATGCTTTAGGACCTGACTCCAACTCTTTCTTCTTGAGAATGTCATGCTCCTCGGACACTTTGCTTCTCAGCTGGTGGATGCTGCAAGTAACCGCACACCTGAAATTCACCTCATACAGGGAGGTCAACAGACCTCTTCCCAGAAAAGTGGAAATCTTTTGTAGTGAAACTCTGAATCCTCCAAATATAGCAGTGACAGGCTTGGAGTAAGAAGTTGGTATAATCAACATAGAGAGATTTACTCTCTCTAGGAGCCAAGATCCTGTGGCCTGTTATCTTTCTCACTAACATAACCTTGTCATCTTTAGGCCCATTTATCATGTTCTTTCGTTTCAGAGAAAAACGGTATCTATATACTTACAACTGAGAGATTATTTTCTCTCTCTGAAAAGACCTGCCCTCAACTAATTAGGGGGTCGGTTTCAAGAAGCATAAACTACCCTTAGACCACAGTTCTAAGAGCCCACCCCAGAAAAATACTTTTAAATATGGCAAACCTTAGTGTCTAGTGATAGAAACATTACAGATAGCAGCAAAAACAACCAATCTGTATGCCTAGTAATTGGAAAATAGCTTAGAAAATTGAAATGCTACATAATGGAAGCCATTAAAACCGATACTTATAGAAAAGCAGTTTGGGGTAAGCTAATTTATTCATTAGTATTACTGTATTTTTTTGTCAAGCGTTAACATTCTGCAACCTAAGCCTGATAATTTCTGAGAATAACAAACAGAAACAAAGCCACAAAATGCACTCATCAGTTTAAAGCTCCTGTAATTCAGGACTGGGACTCTGCCTCCCACAGTGACACCGACACTGATGGGGGCAAAAGGCACTCCCTCCTCTGACCTAGTTTATGCTCATTTCCATCTTTACTACCATGGAGGCTGCTACACCAAAGAGGGGAGAGAGCCACACTCTATTTAGTATGAAGATGTGAGTTAACCAATCAGCACTATACCAACAAATGACAGGAACGGTTCACAAATTTGGAAATATGCAAGGACCCCAGGGACCACATAGGAATATCTAGGTGAGAGAACTCTAAATTGTAGAGACCTGGCTTTCTTCAGTAAGCAGAGGTCCCTGGGACTCCACAGCTCAGGTCCAGCAGAAACAGGTTACAGGCAAAGTGGCCATCTCACAGGGGAGATGTTCTCCTTTCATGGACGATTAGACCCATCTGCTGGTCTAGCAGGATAATCTGCCTGAAGGCTTTTTAAAAGCCTTCCAGCTTTAGCCACGGTTAATTTTAGAGAGCTGGCTATGAATCAGATGAAACCAATCCTACTGCTGGAGGCACCCAGTGTTCCCATGCCTCACCTGACCCCTCTGGCAGCAGTGAAAGCAGAGATCCGGGAGACAGCAACAGCCTTAGAGCTGCCTGTGTCTGAAAAGGATAGGGCTCCAAGAGCTTGTGAATGACTGTCCGACTGAGGGAGGCATTCAAGTGAGAAGAAGGGCTGAGGACAAACATTGTTTTCAATTGAGAAAATATGCAAATCCACCACCTACTGAATGGCAGGCTAGTTAGAGGATGTTGCCAACAAATGACATTATTTGAATGAAAATGTTTTGGACAAAAAAAATTTTACAAATTACTATACCTTTGCTTTGTGTTTTGTTTTTGTTTGTGAGAAGCAATCTCATGAAACCTAGGCTAGCCTCTAACTCCCTGTGTAGGCAAGGATGACCTTGAACTCCCAATCCTCCCTCCACTACTTCCAAGTGCTGGGATTACAGGCATCTGTAGCTACCAAACTGAAAATCTTTTTATAGATTTCTTTATCAGATAGCTGAATCCATCCTGAGTAGGTCTTAATAGATAATCATTTTACTTGACAAATATCAGTTAAACAACTTCCAGTGTGAAGCATTGCCAGGCTATGAGGGCAGAAAAGATCTCTTGTATGGTGACACTGGACAGATGGAAGAGACACAGAAAAACAAAAGGTTACAGTCAGGATACCAAATGTCATATCTAAGAGGTTTTTGATACACTGTCTTTGCTTCAAATGGCTTGTATTGACAGAGCAAGAGAATCAAGTAAAATTCAGGACTGCAAAGGTGAAATGGGAAAACGGAGAGTACTTTTGGGTTTTATAGAAAATAAAAATAAAGGCATAAAGCTGAATGATTATGACTATAAGGTCTTTATTCACAAACAATATGGTTGAGTGTTTAGAAAAGCCTAAATAATCCACATAGAAGCTACCGAACTGTTAAGTACACCCGGCACGGTTACAGTCACTTTATCAAAGTCAATTGCATCTATCTACCAACCACAGACATTTGAAAACTGAAAGTTAAAAGTAAGTTAGCTGGGTGGTGGTAGTGGAACACACCTTTAATCCCAGCACTCGGGAGGCAGAAGCAGGAGGATGTCTGTGAGTTCCAGGACAGGCTCCAAAACTACAAAGAAACCCTGTCTCAAAAATCCCCCAAATAAATAAATAAATAAATAAATAAATAAATAAATAAATAAATGTAAGTTATACTCACAACATAACATGGAATGTTTTAGGGAAACTAGCAAAATACAACGAGTAAGACTTGAACACTGAACAACACTTCTGAAAAAAAAAAAAACCTCAAAGATCTAAATATGTAGAAGAATATCTTAGGTTTATAGATAAAAAAAATCTAATACCATCAACATGTTTTTTATCCCCTTAAATGACATACACCTCCTGTGGCATCCCAATGAAAATCCCAACAGCTTTCTTTCTTTCTTTCTTTCTTTCTTTCTTTCTTTCTTTCTTTCTTTTCAGGAGCTGACTAGCTGCTTTTAAATGCATGAAATAAAATCCTGGGATAGACAGGTCCCTCTTCTTGTAGCTCAGGGAATTTTGAGGAAGAAGGGGAGGTAGAATTGTTGGAGGACACCAGGAGAACATGGTCCACAGAATCAACTAAGCAGGGCTCATAGGGGATCACAGAGACTGAAGAAGCAATCGTGGAGCCTGCATGGGTCTGAGCTAGGTCCTCTTAGTAAATGTTTTGTTGTTGGTTTGTTTTTTTTTTTTTTTCTTCGTAAATGTTATGGTTGTGGAGCTTGGTGTTCTTGTAGGACTCCTAACATTGGGAGTGGTGTGTGTGTGTGTGTGTGTGTGTGTGTGTGTGTGTGTGTGTGTGACTCCTATCTGCTCTTAGGACCCTTTTCCTCCTACTGGGTTGCCTTGTTCAGTGTGAGGTTTGTGCTTAGTCTTACTGTATCTTGCTATGCCATGTTCAGTTGATGTCTCTGGGAGGCCTGTCCTTTTGTGAAGGGAAATGGATGAGTAGTGGATCCAGGAAAGGGGAAGGGGGAGGGAGAACTGGGAAGAGTGGCAGGAAAGGAAACCGTGGTCAGGATGCATTGAATAAGAGAAGAATAAAAAAGATTAAATAGGATTTAAGGTTTTTGTATCAAAATAAAAATAAAATCTTGGAATAGTAAGAAAAACAATTTTAAGGAGTACACAGCTGAGGGCCTATTTGGTTTTGATGACTTACCACACATCTACAACAGTCGCTGCGGCCAGGGCAAACACATTGCTTAATGAGGCAGAATAGAGTCCAGAAATCAACTACACAGAAAGTCAAAGAAACCTGCTAAGTCAGTGGGAAAAGAATAGTTTGGATTGTGTTTGGCAACTGGATATCCATAGAAGAAGATGAAACTTAATCTCAACTTCATGCTGTTCATAAATATTAAAAGAAATTTCTTTTAGATTTAAATGTTTTTTTCAGATTTTTTTTTTTACTTGAATTAGAAACAAGATTGTTTGACATGTCAATCCCAGGTCCCTCTCCCTCCCCTCCTCCCCTACCACCCTAAAAGAAAAAATTTTAAATTGAAACAAACGTTAGAGATGATCTTCACAAATCTGAGATAAACTTTCTTCTTAGACAAAAAGACAACAACAAACAAATAAAAAACTAACCCACTAATTATAAAAATCTTTTTTATATAAATTAGACTTCCTTGGAATTCAAAACTTGTGCCCATGAAATAATACAACCAAGAAATTAAAAGAACAATCATTACTCTTAGATCAAATATTTATAAAACACACATCTCACAAAAGATCTGTTCCTGGGGCTGGAGAGATGGAGAGATGGAGAGATGGCTCAGAGGTTAAGAGCACTGGCTGTTCTTCCAGAGGTCCTTAGTTCAATTCCCAGCAACAACATGGTGGCTCACAGCCATCTACAATGAGATCCAGTTGCCTTTTCTGGTGTGCAGGCATACATGGAGGCAAAATGTTGTATACATAATAAATAAATAAATAAATAAATAAATAAATAAATAAATAAATCTTAAACACATCTGTTTCTAAAATATACAGAGAATTCAGGAAGAAGACAGTCCATTGTGAAGATAAGGAAATATTTGGATAGAAATTACAGAAAGAAGATGGATGAAGAGACATGGATAGCATGTGAAGACTGCTTAATAAAGTTTACCAGAAATACAAATTAAAATGACCATATACTCACAGAGTGGCTAAAATTCAAACTATCAATAACAACAAGTATTGACAAGGACTGGCAAAAATAAACTATGATAAATTCCTTTTGGAAAATAGATTGGCAGTTTCTCAATCGGTACTACTGCACTGACTACATGAATAATCAAGTAGATGTTTAAGAATACCCTGGGAAATAAAAAAAAATATGTCAACAAAGAGATTTGTACTCAAATGCTCATGATACGTTTGTAATAGCCTTAGATGCCCAGCAAGAGCAATGAATAAACTAAACTGTAATATAGCTATACAATACATACTATTTGACAACAAGAAATAAAAGACCAATATATACAATGTTCCAGGTAGATTTCAAAAACATTCTAAGTAAAAGATGACCAACATAAAAGGGGATATTTATGCTACTCAGTTACTGAAATTCTAGAGGGACCAGACTAACCACCCTACATTGACAAAACATATGTGTGGACTGAGCAGGAGACATTGACTACAGAGACACAGAGGATTTTTAGTGGTACCTAAAATCTTCTATGCCCTGACTATATTGGTGGTTACTTGTAGTATTATCAAAATTCTCTGAACCATTTGTTTATAATTATTATACACTG